GAGACTCCTGCTCCCACTTGCGCCTCAGCTGGTACTGTCTCAAAACACTGTCCATCTCCTTCTGCTCCTCGCTCGGCACGCTTTCGTCGGCCATGTGGAGGGAAGGCATGGCAAAGTCCTTGGACATGGAGATCATGAACTTGACAACGAATGTTTTGAAGCCGCGGAACTGCTCGCTGACCACTGGCCCACAGAAGACCGATTTCTCGCATTTTTGTAGCTGGAAGTTCAAGAAGTGCGTGAAGTTGCTGAGCTCGGTCCAGGAGGGGTTGCTTCTCCCGCAGAATTCCATCAAGCAGTCCAGGCATTCCTTCTCTGTCCCTTCGATCCTTCCAGGGACAAAAGTGAAATGGTCAAGGTTTTCATTCTGCCTGTATCTGCTGAGGTATTGGTAGGACCTTTGGAAAACTTCGCTCTTCAGCTTGTCCCGGTCGAACCATTCCTCCCTCAGCTCTGCGGGAGGGATGGAGCTGGGATGTCCCAGCAAGCTGAGCACCCGCAGCGGCGAGATGCACTCCACGGTAGGAAAAAGATCCAGAAAGGTTTCTTCCATTTCAACGGACATCTAAAATCAAGAGGACACAAATCACTGTGAGGACCAACCTCCCATGTTTGCCTACAACACCAACCCCTCCGCTCCCCCCCACCTTTGTTTTATTTCCCCCTGGTCGCAAATTGTTCAAAAAAACAGGAAAAAAACCCAACATAGCAATGCCAAGACTTCTGCAAGCCTCCATGTGGACTGAAATCCCCAGAACCGTTAAGGTCTGTCTTGCCCAGCGTCCCGTCTTGGGTTGGGTGACCTTGTTACCGTCTCCCATGCTTTCTCCTGCTCCACTAAATCCCTTTTGGAGATGGAGGGACCTGAACTCAGACACCATTCAAGCTATGGTGAGGAACCACAAGTGGATGATCAACCACTCAGTGACTCTTGGGGTGCATTTCCCACCTTTGGTAACTCTCAAGCACCACAAACTGGCTTTAAAAACACTCATGAGGTTCCAGTGACAGCAAAATTGGGATGAAAAAACCCCTCCCTTTTTCCTCCACAACTCAGCGATGTTTCACCTTGAGTAGAGACCTGGGTTCTTCTATGTAGGTGAGACATTGATCCACTGGCGAGACAGACCCTAAACCATGCATCCATCCGGTGGAGACATCAGCACTTAAGCAGATTTACTCATGCTCAGCCTTGACAGTTCCTCCACCTGAGCGCAGACACCCCCCCCCCCCCCCCCCACAAAAAACCTCTTCCTTCCTTGTGCTGCTGAGCCCCCTCCCTTTTGCCAGGTACTCAATCATGTAAAGATGAGAGGGTTTGCACTTCCAGACCAAGCCGTCAGGACCCTGGACGTGGCGCAAGATGCACAGGTCAATCAGCAGCCGGTAGAGACCCTTCGATACCTGGAAGGGCAGAAAAAAAAACCCCAAAAACCCAAATTAAAATTGATGCCGAAGTCTGCCAAAACAGACTCGCTGCTCTGATGGGCCTGGATTTGTGTTTCCACCTCCTCCTCTGCCTCCCTGTACACCGGATCTTCTGTGTTTCACCACCTCTTCGCATCCACTTTGAGATCCGAGCACTCACCACTGGAGAGACATCGATGTGGAAGATGCTGGGCTGAGGTTCAGTTGAGGATTCTTTGATGGAGAAGAGCTCCTCCACGAAGAACTGGAAATCGATCTCTGACTCCATCAGCCTGATGGTTTTGTGAAGCGGTAGCGTGCCACCCAGCTGGGCATGGACCTTGCCGATGGTGTTGTCCACAAAGAGAGACTTCCCTAAGGAACAGAAAAGCCGGGCATCAATCATAGAGTCACAGAATCATGGAACTGTTTGGGTGGAGAAGACCTTGAAGATCACCAAACCCAGCTGTTCCCCTACCCCTGCCATCCCACCACCAAACCCTGGCCCTCAGCACCGCGTCTGCCCAGCTGTTAAATCCCCCCAGGGCAGGTCTCCCCTCAGCCTCCTTTTCTCCAGGCTAAACAACCCCAGTTCCCTCAGCTGCTCCTCGTAAGACTTGTGCTCCAGACCCGTCACCAGCTTTGTTGCCTTTCTCTGGACATGTTCCAGCACCTCAATGATCTTCTTGTAGTGAGGGGCCCAAAACTGAACACGGTATTTGAGGTGCAGCCTCACCAGTGCGGACTACAGGAGCACAATCACTTCCCTAATCCTGCTGGCCACACTATTTCTGATGAAAGCCAGGATGCTATTGGCCCTCTGGGCCACCTGGGCACACTGCTGGATCATATTCAGCCACCTGTTGACCAACACCCCCAGGTCTTTTTCCTCCGGGCAGCTTTCCAGCCACACCATCTACCCTTCCACTCTCGCACGTCACCCAAAGCAAGGAAATCTCTCCCCAAAAGCCTCTTGGGTTTGAGGTCCGACTCAGAATATGCCTCCCCCAGGACTTACCCATTCCCGCTCGCTCCGAATAGACAAACTTCACGTTCTGCTGATAGGGCTCTTCAAAGGCTTGAGCAACGGGGGCTGTCCCACTCGGCACTTTGAGGTGCATCTTCAGGTAGGTCTGGATTTCTGTCTTGGAGTAGCAGGGGAAAGTCACTTTGTAGGCATCAAAGGCTGTGGTAACGTAGGCGTTGTGAGCTTTGGCATTGCAGAAGATGATGAATCTGTAGTTGGGGCTGCCGGAAGATTGCACCAGGCGGAAGAAGTGGGACTCGAGTTGTTTGGAGACTTTATAAACTAATTTGTCAGCGCCCAGCAAACAGTAGATCTTCTGGTCTTGGGAACCGGGGGAAAGAGCTCTCCTGACAAGCAGCTCCACCTCCTCCTCCTCTGTGTTGGGCGTGCACACCAGGACCTCGTCATATGACGGGAGAGGTGCCATCTCGGTGTGTCGGTAGACGAACAACATGTTGGGTAACATCTCCTCTTCCTTGCACAGGACAAGGAGGGGCTTCCCCTCTTCGAAGCCTACAGGTAGACCCCTCTCAACGCGCCTGCTTTCTCGAGCGGCCAAGCGCTTCAGCACCTCCCCAAAAACATCCAGGCCTATGTATTTATCGGACACCAGGCCAGCGAATTTCTTACAGTAAGCGTCCCAGAGCAGATTCACCTTGTCATAAATAGATGGCAAACTCTCAAAGGAGGCCACCAGTTCATCGCACGCCAGCGTGCTGAAGGAAACCTGATCCACGTCTCTGTTCCTGGTTTTAAATTTCCGTCTGGCCTGCAGGAAGGTTTCTCTCGTCTCGTCGTACAGTTTGCTGAGCTCTTCAACCAGCTCCTTGTCGTCGCCCTGCTCGAAGGCAAAATCCATGAGCATCTGCTCTGTGATGGGTGGGTTGGCCAGGCAGCTCTGCAAGGCCGCCTTTGCCACTGACTCGTCGTAGCCTGACTCGGCCAAGCTCTTGATGAGCTGGGGAAAATGAATGATGTAATCTTGCCAGGTAACTGACTCACTGCCCGCTGCCGACGTATTCACGGAGTCCAGAGGAGTCAGCAGCGCATCCCCCAGGGCTTTTTTGATATCTTCCTTGTCGACGTCATGCTTGATGGCGGAAAGCATGATGAGCACCTGCGGTTCTACGATGTCCTTCTGGACTCTGGCCAGCTGGCTGCATAAGTAGAAGAGCTGGTGGGCGGTGAACAGGTTGAGATGATAGTAGGTGTCCCTTTGAGTCTTCAGGTACTTCTTCCACTCAGCCAGGCAATGGTCCATTGCTTTAGCGAGGCTGTCCAGCTCCTCCAGGAGGGGTCTTGTGCTCTGAACGAGGACCCCCGCGATCCCAAATTCCGTGTAGATTTTCACGCGTTGCTGGGGGTTGCAGTAGATGTCAGCCTTCCAGTTGATGAAGAGGATGTTGCCAACGTTGAGAAGTTCCAGGCACAACTTTCCAACTGTCACAACTTTTTCCAATATCTGTAACCGGCCAAAGAGACAACAGGGAAACAGATCACACACTGCAGCGTGTTCTCCAGAGCTTCCAAACACCGCTTGGGACACACTTTCCTCCTGAGATCCGTACAGCTCAGCTGTGGGCTCCCCAGGACAAGCAAGACATGGATGCACTGGAGAGAGGCCAGGGAAAATGACAAAGGGATTGGAACATCTGGCAGAGTGGCTGGTGCCACACTCAAAATATGGGCTTCTGTGATCAATGACCTACCTTTGAGAAGCCCAGTCTACCCTTGAGAAGCCAGATCTACCCTTGAGAAGCTGGATCTATCCTTGAGAGGCCAGATCTACCCTTGAGAGGCCAGATCTACCCTTGAGAAGCCAGATCTACCCTTGAGAAGCCCAGTCTACCCCTGAGAAGCCGGGTCTACCCTTGAGAGGCCCTGTCTACCCTTGAGAAGCCCAGTCCACCCTTGAGAAGCCCAGTCTACCTTTGAGAAACTGGGTCTGTTGGGAGATGATGGGATTCACTTGACCAACTGGGGCAAGAGGGTCTTCACCAAGAAGCTGCCCAGACTTAAGGAGAACTTTAAACTGGACTTAACAGTGGAAGGGGATGGGGTTTTGAGCAACAGAGAAGAGCCAGGGGCTGCTGACGTGTTGGGAAACACCTGTGCAATGCCTCGGGGAATTAGGGCGTGTTCCTCTCAAATGAGTTGAGAGCTTCTGGGTCGAAATCAGCAGCCCAGCCAAGGAAGGCAACCTCGTGGTTGGTGCTTTCTAGGGGAAACCCAGCCAAGGGGACCCTGGTTTCAAAGTCTCACTTCAGCTATGGGAAGCATTGCGCTTCCAGGTTCTGATCCTGCTGGGGGGCTTCAATTCCCCCTGACATCTGCTGGAAAAGCATCATAGTATGATGTGACTAGTCCAGGAAACCACAGAATCATAGAATCATGGAATCATTTGGGTTGGCCTAAATGATCTTCAAAGGTCTTTTGCAACCCAAACCCTTCCATGAGTCCCTCCGCAGTGAAGCATGAAAGGTCTTGGATGGGCTGTTGGGCACCACGAGTGAAGAACAATGTTCGGGCAAGCTTGGGAAGGGAGCATCATCCTAGAGTGAGACCTCTGCTCTTGAATGGCCAGAACTGCAGGTCACAGGTGAGCGTCCTGGAAATAATTCCATCAAATCCCCCCAAACTGGCCACCATTTTCCAGGCAGACATTGGTGCCGCACTGTGACCTACCTCCAAGAAGCGGTTTGCCTCCTCCCTGCCCTGCTCAACCTTGGTGGCGATCAACATAAGCTTGTTCTGGAGCTCTGTCAGCTGAGACAAACTGTATTTCTTGCCCTTCGGGTCTGCTGGAGGCGTGCTCTCCTCATTGTCATTCAGCAGTCGCAACGAGACGCAGTCCTCGAGCGTAGCCTGGAAAGCAGAGAAGACAACCAACGTCACCACACGGCCTTTCCTTGAGTTGAAGTGCTGCATGTTGGGACTCCATGTGTCTTATGCCACCTCTTTCAGAGGAAAGAAAAACCCATTTTCTGCCAAAAATACTCAAGGTTGGACAGCAAATTGGCGGTACCGGGTACAAACCCAAGTGGGGCTCCATCAGCAGCCTGGTACGCTCATGGGGAGTTGGTTTCCAGAAAGATCTTTTCTCCCGATGACATTAAAAAACACAACTCAGAGAGCCTTTACCTTGAATTTCGGAGGCGCCGAGATGGTGAATAGCCCATGTCTGTTGATGCTTCTGGCTTGAGAGATGGACGAGCGCTCCACCGAGCCGTGAGAGTCGTGGACCATCTGTATCCACTCTTTGTTGTGACAGGAATCTTTCTGCAGAAGAAGAACCCAAGGGAAACCCTGTAACCAGCTGGAGGGATGCAAAACTCCGCTGCCCCACCCCAAATCTGATGCGGGTGGGGTTTCTGGCACCAGTTCTTCTGAGGACAGGGTTTCCCATGGCTTCTGAGGGGACACAGCCCCAGAGCTGGACCTACCCTAACAGCCCTGAGCATTGGTGTGTGGTGAAGCTCTTGTTCTCTGCTCTGGTTTTGGTGAGGAGCAGAGCGTAAAGCTCAGTGACAGAAGAAAACAGAAGAAAAGCTTTTCTGCCAAATTCTGAAATAGGTTCTGGAGTCCTCCCAGCCTTGGAGAAGCTCAAAACCTGATTGGGCATGGCCGTGAGCTACCTGCTCTCCCTGACCCCATTTTAAGCAGAGGATTTAGACTCAACGATCTCCCAGAGGTCCCTTCCAACCTCAACTATCCTGTGATCCTAAACTGTAGGTTCTGGAACTTGTTGCCTCCTATTCACAGCACCTTCTGTGTCTCCTCCAGCTGCCCACACACGTGTCTAAGGTCAATGGAGATGTTCTACCAGGCTTCCATGCCAAAAAGAGAATCACAGAATCGTTGAGGTTGGAGAAGACCTTGAAGATCCCCCAGCCCAGCCGTCCCCCTACCCCTGCCATCCCACCCCCAAACCCCGGCCCTCAGCACCGCCTCTGCCCGGCTGCTAAATCCCCCCAGCGCTGGGGAC